AAAAACGGTTGAGTAGAAAATATTGATAAATTTTCGGCCAGTTGAATTTTTTAAGGGAAAAATTCAACAAATATAAAAGTTGGGTTATATACAGTTGCAGAAATAGAATAGTTATAGAAAGTCACGTCTTTAAACAAATATTTTGAGTAAAAATAAGTGAGCAATTTTTGGTGAGGTCAAAATTTTGGAGGTCAATAAATTACAAAAATATCGCCAAATAATTAGAGAAAATTTAGAGTTTTTATGGTACTTCATTTTTAGTTACAGTTTCTCAATGTACCATATGCAAATTTAAGTTCAAGTTGAAAAGAAAAAAACATATGCTTTACTAGATGTTTTGCAGAATTTTTGAAATCATGGAGAAATATGCACAAATTTTGGAACTGGAGCAAAATTAATAATAGAACTTGATCGCCAAACAATTGCATGCATATGTGTGACATTTGTTTGATGCATACATGATGAAGTTTGAACATGATCAACCATCGAGGCATGTCAGAGATATGGCTCAGGGATATTTCAAATTATAGGTATCAATAACCTGTAGCACACATTGTATGTACAAGTCTGAACGAAATCTGTGCCTGACTGAGAACCAGTTTCTGAGTAGCAGAAATACTCCGATAATTGTTTGCACTATAATAGCCATTATTCAACCATCTTGAATCGATGAAATAAATATGTACGTGTGAAGTTTGAAGGTGATCAGTACAGGCATCTCCGAAATACAGGTGTAAACAAATGGACACATACATGTGTAGACACACACACATGCAACTAAGTTCAATTATATAGCCCCTGATGGAAATTTTTGTAAATAAAATTGTTGTTATTAGAAAGCAACCTCAAACATTGGTAAAGAGCGCTGTGAGCACAAAAGAGGAACACATGTTACTATCAGTGTGAATCCATCATGGTAAATCTTATCAGTCCAAATTCAATAAAATACTCGTCACTGTCAGTTATGAATAAAAAAAAAATAATGATATCTACAAACTCAAACAGTCTAATCTGATGTCAATTTTTACAAAGAGATGTGACTGAAGATGAGATGACCCATGGTAGCATGTCAAAGACTTACCGGTAAGTGCACATAAGCATGAGCTGTTCTACAATTTTCGGATTTTAATTGGTACAAAACTCACAAAAAATGATACTGTAAATGCATTAATTAATCACTCGGTTTTAATTTTGTTATTTTCAAAATCAATAAAAGTAAAATCTGCTAAATTAAATCTTTGTTGACATATTAAATAACAGTAGAACTCATTATTTCCCTGACAATTTGTGTAGTTGAAACACAGTGAATATACTCAAATTAGTGAAATTAAATGCCAGTGAAAATAAAAGGTTCTACAGTATCAAATAATTCATTATT